AAAACAGTCCCTGCTTAGCTCATACTCTGTTGGGTGGGTGGGTGGGTGGGGGACACACAACATGTGAACATACAAGCACATACAAAGTAAATACGAGGTAATATTGAGGGAAGCCAAGGGATGAAGCTGAGGGATGAAGGAAAGCCTCATATCACCTTGAGATGGTGTCTGAACAGAGTTTTGAAGCAAACAAGGATTCTAACAGATGGAGACATGCTTTCCAGTTATGGGGGAACAACCTTAGTAAATGAGAAAGGTAAATGGTATAGTGTGGGATAGTTCCATTGAAAGAGTACTTACAGTCAGATAGTCTGGATTTTAGCCCCAATTCAGTCAATAACTAACTAGCTCTAACTGGTGTCTCTCTGGGTCTCTCTCTCTCTTTTCTTATTCATCCAGTGAAAAGATTGGACTACATCTTCTAGATATAGGCATCCTGGTACAGTGGAGAGTGTGCTGAGTCTTTGGTGGAGTCATTTAATCTCTATGGACCTTGGCTCCCTCATTGGTAGAAGGAAGGAGATTGGGTTAGATGATCTGTAACATACTTTCCAGCTCTCTCTCTATGACCTTTTGATTTTACAGTCTCTAAGATTCTATGAGTTCTGATAGCTGGAGATGCTATCAAAACAACCAAGCAGAAAAGGTACTGAGGAATTGGTAATGTCTATAGAATGAAAGAATATTTTTGGTGAAACATTTTATTACTCTTGTCTTTAACGCATTTTTGAATAGTGGATAAAATATTCATCCCCATAAGATGTGTCCCCTTGCCACCCCCCCAAGAAATGTCTCACTGTCAGATACTTCCTTCTCTCCTGAAACTGATCAGAACAAACATATAACAGGTAGCATGGTGTATTGGCAGCTAGATGGCTCACTGGATAGAGTGCCAGGCCTGGAGTGAGGAAGACTCATCTTCCTGAGTTTAAATCTGGTTTGAGACACTTGCTAGCTTTGTGACCCTGGGCAAGTCATTTAACTCTGTTTGCTTCAGTTTCCTCAACTGTATTAGCTGGAGAAGGAAATGGTGAAGCACTCCAATAACCCCCAATGGGGTCATGATGAGTTGGACACTACCGAAAAAATGACTGAATAACAACAACATTGCACTGCAGTTTGTTCATGCCCACTACAGGTCTCTCCATTGCCCTTTGGGTAATCTTCTGATGTTGCCAGAGACTACAGTACTCATATCTCTCAGCCACATGTCATTGAAGGAAGAATATTGGTGATAAATAGATGGACCTGTTTCTGTAAGAAGCTTAGAGTTATTCAATCATTTGTTAATCTCCTACTATGTTCTGGGCATGGTGCTAGGCGCTAGAGACACAAAGACAAAAATGGAATAGTCCCTGTCTTCAAGGAGTTCCTATTCTATTGGGGGGTGGGGTGGGAAACATACTAATAATAGCATTTATATAGCACCTTAAGGCTTGAGAGCCTTGACACTTAAAGTACTTTACAAATATTATCTCATCTTATCCTCACAGCAATGCTGGGAGGTAGGTATTATCATTATCACTCCCATTTTACAGATAAACAGAACAGCTACTGTCTAAGGCTGAATTTGAACTCAGTTCTTCCTGGCTTCCAGTCCAGCACTCTATCCACTGTGCCACCTAGAAGATCTATACGGATATAAACAAATTAAATACAAGGTAGTTTTCAGAAGGAGGGCAGTAAGGGCTGGAGCAATCAAAAGAGAATTTATGATGTAGAAAGTGCTGTTGAGATGAGTAGTGAGAACCTTGTCATTTCAAGAAAGGCAATCCAGCTGGGTTTTCTCTTCAAGAACATAAGAGGAAAGAAAAGAATTACAGGACTGCAAGAGAACAAACAAAACCTAAGTAACTTTAAATAATTGGAGACAAGTCCATCCACTTTTATTATTTGTTGTTTTGTAAATCCACATAAAAGATGCACATCTTGATTTGAACATAGTTGAGCCTACATCCTTTTTGTTTTGTTTTTGCTAGGCAATGGTTTTAGGTGACTTGCCCAGGGTCACACAGCTAGTAAGTGTTATGTGTCTGAGGCCGGATTTGAACTCAGGTCCTCCTGACTCCAGGGCCGGTGCTCTATCCACCGAGCATCCTAGCTGCCCCCCATCCTTTTTGTTTTGTGATCCTTTTTGACTTTTTTGTTTCTATAACACAGATTGGTTGTAGTTATTATTGACCTTACAATTATAGTTCTGTAGTTGGAATCAATGTTTACGTACATTGATGTTGTTCTTTTGATTCTGGTTTCTTGGAGTAGTTGATGGTATTGCTTTCGTAAGTCTTCCTATATTCTTTGGATTCTTTGAATTCATCAAATTGTTTATACTATAATAAAATTTCATTACATGCATATAGTGTAATTTGTGCAGCTGGTCCCCCATTAATGGACATCTCATTGGTTTGGTTTGGTTTGTTTCATCTTAGCTATTACAAATAGTGTTCCTAGCAATATTTTTGTGAAGACAGGACTTTTTTTTTTCCCCTGTCAATAATGCTTGGGCCATGGTTTCAGCAGAGGGAAAACTGGTTTTAAGTATTATTTTATCTTCATTTGACAGATGAGAAAACTGAATTTCATAGTAATAGAATGGTTTGTCAGTGGTCACATAACTAGTTAGTGACAAAGACAGGACAAGAATCCCAGTCTGACTCAACCTGGAAACATGGTTTACTATGTGAAATATGTGAATTCATTTCCTCGAAACAGCTTGCTTGAAATAAGTTAGCTGAGATAATAGGACCATATGTGTAAAATTGGAAGTGATCTAAGAGGTCAGCTAGTCCAAACCCCTATTATACAGATGAGAAACACAGTAAGGTTAAATTATTTTCTTGGTTGGAACCCTGGTCCACTGACTACAGAGCTGATGCTTTTCCCATTGTACCAAGAGGTCTTTTTGTCCAAGATAATTTTTGTTTGAAGCACCAAGATTTCACCAACCGTCTCACATTTCTGATTAGCTGGAAGAATCCCTAATTGGTCTGTGCAGACTTTCCAGTAAGTAAAATGAAGAAAATCATTGTTCTCACCATTCCCCTCCCCTAACATAAACCTTAGGGATTCTATCAGTAGCATACATTTGGTATTTTCAGAGACTGTTCTAATTTCCAATATTTTGGCCCATTCACAATTTTTTTTAAATTGTTAACTTATATGGTCCAATTTTGAGTTCAGAAAACAATATCATCCCTTTTTGAAACTGTAACCACGAAGATTGCATAATCACAAGACCAAAGCTGGGATATATTAAAAAAAAAAATTTTTTTTGAAGGATGTGGTGTTTCGGAAGCAGCTGGAGGGGAGATCTGGAAAGGAGGGGGCCCAGGATGTAGAGAAGGGTTGGGGCTGAATACTAGGTTCAAGTTGATAGAAGCACAGGCTCCTAAGTTTAGAGTTGGAGGAGAATGTAGCCAGTAGTTCAAAGCCAGAATTTTACAGACAAGGAAAGTAAGTGTTACCCAATAGAAACATGGAAAGGGGTCTGGTGTTAAGCAAGGACCAAGGTCGTGGACTCATCATTAACACTAATACACATTTGTACAGAGTTCCAGTTTCCGAAAGGCTTTCATATGATGCATTACATTCCATCCTGCCAACAGCCCTACACTGCAGAAGTGGTTATCTCCATATTAGAGATGCAGGCTCTGAAGGCCAGAAAAGTGAGGCGACTTCCCTTAGACCTCACAGGCAGTCCTCTGAATCCAGGTCTTCTGTCTCCACTACCCCCACCCCAGTCTTATGTTCCTTCCATTACACCGCACTGCCCCTCCAGACCTTGGGACCGATCACCCTACTTAAGGAAAGGGAAAGGAGTGAGCAAGCAGGAACCTCTCAGATTGGAGAGGAGCAGGGACAGAGAGGGGAGGTACCCAGCCCAGCTGCTAGCCTCCCCAAGCAACAACAATAATAGCTTTAAGGGTAATCAATAATAGTTCACATTTCTATAGTGCTGGAGAGCATGAATACAATCCAGACCAGTGAATTCCAGTGTGACGGAGCCAGTTTAGTTTCCTTCTCTATCGCTCTTTCTTCCTAACGCGGGGCCTTGCACATAGTAGGCTCTCAATAACTGTTTGATCAATTAAACTGTACTGAGGGAGGGAGAAATACGCATGTTATTCCAGCTCCCGGGAAACCCTGCTGCAGAAAGATTCCCCCGCGGTCTAACAATAGCATCCGCTGAGGCTGCAGTGCTCAGTCCCGAGCCGGGGTTCCTGGAGCCTTCGGCTGTCCCGAACTGAAGCTGGGTGTGGAGCTGGAGCCGGACGGGTGAGGACTCAAGAGAGTCGGCTCTGGGGATCTAGCCAAGCCCGGCCCCCACCCCTCGCCACACCCATTTTCCGAGGAACTAACAGATGTGCTGTTTGGTTAAGGCTCTCCCCCGAGGAATTCCTCTGAACTCTGTGGTTAAAAGCATCGGCTTCCTGGGAAGCAAAAGCTACGAGCAGGAGGAACTGGGCCGAGGGAGCGGGGTTCCGGTGGTGAGAGGCGCGCAGTGGTCGTGCGGAGCGCTAACTGGAGTTAGAGAGGGCTGGGGCTTAAGGAGTGGGAGAAGGGGGTGGGCTGGAGAGACCGAGAAGGGAGTGAGGATGGGATGAAGAGAGTCGGGGCTGAGATGGGAACCAGAAGGCGTTAAGGATGTCCGGCAAACAGAGCATATGTTAAACAACGGGGAGAAAGCAGTAGGCGCCGGAGCTGGAGTTGGAGCTGGAGCTGGAGCTGGAGCTGAGCACGGGCAGGAGGGGGCCGGAGCTGGGCGGGAGCTGGGCGTCGCTTCCTCACCTACAGAATAGAAACCGAAAGCCCGAGAGGAGGAGCTCAGGACCCCGCCTCCCTCCCAGCCCCTCCCGCCGGCCCCAACCCACCCAGCCTGGGCCAACTAACCTCGGAGATTTAAATAGATTGCGCCCTGCGCTGTGCGCGGAGCAGACGGGAGCTGCGGCTGCAGCAGCTGCACTGCCTCCCAGCCCCGGACTATGCGCCTGAGCGGCCCCGGAGCTCCCCCGCCGCCCCGCCCGCGGCGCCGAGCCGCGCCCACCCGCCTGGGAACCAGGTGAGCTGGGACTAGGGGCACCGGGAGCCGCTGGAGACTGGGGAGGGAGGGAGGTCCTGCAGCTTGGGGTCTCTGTGCTCTCCGCCCGCCATGCGCCCCGTGCGGGGCAGTTAGGAGCGGGATCCCCAGCTTGGGACCAGGATAGCCGAGGGAAGAGAGGCCCCACCGAAGGGAAGGGATCGAGAGGGAAGAGAAAGCGGGAGGCTGGCACAGGGATGGCTGGATACCTTCTCCTGCCGGGCTGCCAGCATCATCATCGAGAGGGAGCGGGAGAGCTAAGGCTACGGAGACCCCGCTCCTGGCCTGCCCGCATTCCAGCCTTCGGAATAGGGTCTCCTGAGTTGTGGGCCATCCCTTGTACCCTCTTTCTGCTCCCTCCTGGTCTCCTTGTCCTTAGAGTCCCAGTCGCCGGTTGGGGGGGGGGGGGAAGAGGTGATGGCTGCCAGTGCGCATCCTTCCTTAGCTCCTGGACTCTGTGGTCCTTGTACAGCATTCTGCAGGAAGACTGAAAGAACCCTGCTCTCTGGGGCCATCTCCCCGATCTGGCCAGCGCACCCTTAAAGGCGGCTAGCTAGCTGTGTGAAAATTGGGAATTTTCCCCCGCTGATTTTCAAGAACTGTCCCAGAACAAGCTGTCACTCATCTTATTAGCCAGCAGGGGGAGGCGACGAGCGATGAGAGAAATGTCTGGGCTTGTGGCCAGGGAATGGGGGGGTGGGAGCCAAGGAGAGGGCACCTCTCAGGCTCCAGGACACTTGCCGTAGTCTAAAGATATAGATATTTGTACTGTGCGTGGCAGCCCACCCCGCCCCCTCACTTAACCCATCCTTGCAGAGAAACGTCAGGCTTGCTCCCCAGGCTCTTCTCCAGCTTAGATGAGCATTGGCATGCTCATCCTCAGCCACCCCTGGACCAGGAGTGCAGAAGCCTCTTAGGCTTAGGGAATACCCCAACCTAGAGCAGACTGTCTTCGGCACACTGTCTGCACAGCCCCGCCTGGCTGCCTGCTCTCAGGAAATGTTCCCCACTCACTCTGCCTCTCTCTCTTTCTTTCCGTGTCTCTCTCTGCCCTTCTGTCTGGGATTTCAGAGTAGCTGCTGCTGGAGTGGAGCCCAAGCCCGCCGCCGGACGCTATGGGCGACCCCACAGGCTGGCCCAGTCTGTAGAATGGTAGCACACAGTAAGGTGGCAGCCGACAATGCAGTTACAGCAGACACAAGAAGAAGATTCGACCATTCTCCTCCTTCTCCTCGGTCCCACCGGGCTGGCCGGGAACATCCCAGCCCACAGCCCAGACCCCAACACGGCCTGGCTCCTCAGCATGGTGCGGTGGCCCTGGCGGCGACGACCCAGGGACAGGGGGACACCCACTTCCGAACCTTCCGCTCTCAGGCTGACTACTTCAGCATCACTCGAGCCAGCGCCCTGCTGGATGCCTGTGGCTTCTATTGGGGGCCTCTGAGTGTGAACGTGGCCCATGAGAAACTCAAGGGCGAGCCGGTGGGGACCTTTCTGGTCCGGGATAGCCGGCAGAAGAACTGTTTTTTTGCCATCAGTGTTAAGATGGCTTCAGGGCCCACCAGCATCCGGGTCAACTTTCAGGCTGGTCGATTCAACCTGGATGGCAGCCGGGAGACCTTCGACTGCCTCTTCAAGCTGCTGGAACATTACCTGAACTCTCCCCGAAAAATGTTGGTCACTCCCCTGCGACAACTAAGGGTACGACCCCTGCAGGAGCTGTGTCGAAAGAGCATTGTAGCCACCTTCGGAAGGGACAACTTGGGCAAGATCCCCCTAAATCCTGTCCTTAAGGACTACCTGAAGTCTTTTCCTTTCCAGATATGAAAAGATGGAAGAATGTGGTGGCAGCATTAACTATGGTTTTTTTGGGGGGGTGGGTAATTGGTTTTGTTTTTTCTTGGGTAGGGGGTATAGCAGTAAGAGGGAGTTGATGCTGATTGCTTGTGGAAGAAAGCAAAGCCCCCTCCCCAGGAAGGAATGTCCTTGGGTGGAGTTGTCCCACCTGGGTGCTTCTTCCCTCCTGCCTCAGAGGTAATCGAGGCCCATTTTTTTTTTTTTATTATTTTAATGTATTTGGGATAGGGACCTGTACACTTGCCTCCCTTCCCTCCTCATGTTTACAAACATCAAATATCTTTGCACAAACCAGGGGTTTGGGGTCTCTGGCTTAATTTTTCTGCTATGCAGAAACTTTATTATTTTATATTTTTAAAAGAGAATAATGTAATAAACTTTATTATAAAAGTTTTTTTAAACCAAAAAAAGGAGAAACATTTCTGATGTGTTCATTACATTGGGGTTGGTCTGCCTTCAGAGAGTTTTGAGTCAGCCTGAGGGTGCTTCTGGAATGGGGAAGGAAGGGATCTACCATAGAACAAAGAGAGGGCTTCCCCTTATAGGAATCTTTTAAGACTAGTAATGGTCATATGTCATTGGGGGTTGTTTCCCCAAATGTCCAAAAGACCTCAAAGTCTTTGAAAACAACACATTGAAGGATACTATAGATTCTAATCAGAATCCTTGGATCTGGTCTAATTGGACTTACTGCCTTCTCTGAATAGAAGTACATACCCTAAAAGTACCAGAGTAATTAGAGATTTTGACAGCTAACTTGAATGGTTGAATTAACTAGGGTAGTCCTTAACAGTTCAATAAACCACCTCAACTGTCAAGTGAAAAAAAAATCCTGCTGACTGGGTTCGAAAGATCCCATGCTGTGTTTAAGCTTCGGGTAAGAGTAGAGTGATTTTTTACGTACTTCTGGGATGGGGACAAGGCCATCGTCTCCTTCCTCTGTTCATCCTCATCGACTCTTAAAATTTTTGTTCAGAGTAACTTTTTAAACAATGGCAGAGGAGCCAAGGAAAGGGATTGAGGTTTAGAAATGGCCGGTCAGTACCTACTGCCTGTACCAACAGCAGCTTCTGGTAGGGAACAACTTGGAACGAGCTTGTCTGTGTATGTCTGAGGTCTAGGTTGTGGGGGGCTGCAGTGATCCAGGAAATCAGAATCTGATGAATGACCAGTGCTGGGAACCAGCAAGCTCAGCACTAAGGAGAGCTGTTAATTGAGTCACTTTAGGGTTTGGGGTTAAGCAGGCTTCATGCTACATTTCTCTCCATTTTTGAAAGTTAAAATGGCCCTCTGGAGCCTTCGACATGTTTATAATGTAGTGTCCTAATATTTAATAATACCTTTCAAACTGTAAAGTGCTCCATGAAATTAACTTTAGGGCTGGAGAGCAAGAGTCACTGTGGCATGCTTTTGGATTAAATAGGTTCCAGGCTCAAAGGTTAAGAGTGGCCAGAGAAGATTTAGGATCTCTTAAAGCTTTCTCAAGTTGACCCATTTTAATAAATGGGGAGTGGTAGAGAAAGAGCTGACATCTTGTCTAAAGGGCTTCTCTTGGGAGCCTGAGCTCTTTTGTTTGTTTGTTTCCAATTCTCTCCCCAATGTCCCAGGGTTATTGTCCCGAGGGATAAGAAGGAGGGGTTGCTCCTGGAGAGGTGAGTGATTGGTGAACTTTCTTCTGTAAACTGATTATCCCTTCTTAGTCCCCAGATGAGAAGCCTAGGGATGGACTCAAAGGTTTCCTGAAGGAGACCAAAGTGAGGGCCATGCACAGGGATCTAATTATATTATAATGTCCATTTCAGAGGGAGGGAAATTGGGATTTTTAAGGGTAAGGAAAATAGCTTTGAGAACATTATTTTATAGACTGAATATTTAGAAATTGCTGTGTATGTGTATAAAAAAGAGCCCAGCCAAAAGCCAACATGTGACCAGCTGTTTTCTTTAATGTGCTGCCAAAACTGAAATCTTGTGCACACCATTAAAAATACCATCATTGAAGAGGAGGAAGAGGCAGGGGGCCCATGTGGCTTCCCTGCCCTAACAGATTTTTTTTTTTTGCTTAAAAACCTCAGCTTCATGATTCAGCAGGGCTGACGTCAATTTACAGGAATAAAAAGTGAGATGAGAAGATCTAGTGTGTATGAGGGTCAGGTAATGGGAATCGTAGGTTGTAATATGGTTGAAGTAGAAAAGTTGAACTGAAGTTAAATTTAAGGAGGGGGGCTGACAAAAGAGGGGAAAGTTTTTTTGGCTTGTCTGTCTTGTTATCCCTCTTTTTTCACCAGAGTCTAAATCCCTGGGACACCTTGGAAAATGGTATAGTAGAAAGTGGCAGCTTTGGAGCTATTTGGAACTCAGCTTACTCCTTGGGCAAGTCACTTAACTGCTCCTCAGTTTTCACATCTATAGAATGAGGAAGTTGGATTGGATATAATCCAATCTAAGGTACCTTCCTAAATCTTAACTTAGGTCCGTGAACACTTACTACCTCCCAATTACTAACTCCATAGCTACTGAATCCTAAGTCCCCTACTGTTGCTGTGCTCATTGGATCCCAGTCCTCTCATATATCTCCAGTACCATTTCTACCCCTATCTCCTTGTTCAGAGCTATTTAGAAGCATAGGTTGTAGAGACAAGGGAGTGCCACTGGCATCGGGCATTCTTCCTCTATTTTGTTCCCGGTGTCAAGGTCTGTAACTTGAAGCTGGGATGGGATTTTTTTTTTTTAATCCTGGTTACTAGAAGGAGTTTGCACCAATTTTCCCCTGCCAGAACTTAGACCCTGCTTTTAAGGAGTTTATGGTTTGTAGGGAGCATAGGACTTCATAGATGGCTAACTGTAATGCAAGGGCAAATCAAAACCATCCAAAATGTGCTTGGAAAATTTGAGGAGAGGTCATTTAAAGTAGAGATTCTTCACAGAGGTGTTGGTCCTTGTGCATAACAATAAACCTTTATTTATGTAGCACTTTACAGTTTGTTAAACATTAGGGTCTCTCAGAGATGTGATATAGGCTCTCTAAAGTTGTGGTACTTCATACACTCCATCCTTTTTTTTTTTTCAATTGACAAAAAACAGAAAGAACCAAAGATTCATACCTTAAATGGCAACAGGTTGTCTTGGAATAGAGTTGAGGAAAGTTGGGGGGGAGGAAAGGGGAAGAGAGTTGGATTTGAACGCTAGGAAAATCCCAGCCAAAGGCTTGGAATTATCCCAGGCCTACAGTTTTCACAGCTAGCATCTTCCCTTACTGCTTCAGCACAAGGATTCTCTCTCAGCTACAACCTACTCTACTGAACTCTACTCAACTCCCAACTTAGCCAACAGAGCAGTTTGAAACATGCTTCAAGGAAACACTAGCACCTGGCTTCCTCCCCTGAGTCTGTCATCCTTTTTCTCTTTCTGATGAATGATCTGAATTTGGGGGTTTCCATGGCGGGGACAGCAATCAGTGAAAGGAGGTCATTATAAGTCTTAGCTATCTGGCACCCCTAGGCTAACAAGATTAATGAAGGAACAACAATTAGCTTTTCCATTACTCCATTTAGACAGGACCTAGACTCAAAGTTCCAGTCCCCCTTACCTCTTTTTGTAAATAGCAGTCAGGGAGCCTGTCTGATCCCTGGAGTTTTTCTTTTCCTTCTGCCTATGCTTTGCCCCTTCTCATGTAGCTATCAGAGAAGCTTCCTCAGGAGGCGAGTGTCTGATGTGGCAAGCCTATACCATGGTGCTTTTGGCTATGATTACTAACTCTGCAGGAGACTGGAACCAGCTGGTTTCTCATTAAAAAAAAATTAGTTTTGGTGTATAGGACACAACCCTAGATGCCAACAATCAGAGCAGCAATCAGAATCATTGACTTAGAGCTGACAAGGCCCTTACGAGATCATCTAGTCCAATCCCCTCATTTTACAGAGAAGGAATCCAGAGGCTCAGCAAAGAATTGACTTGTCCAAGATCACAGATAGGAAGTAGCAGCTTAGGCACTTGAACTCAGGCCTTCTGACTCCAAGAAGCACTGTACCATATAGAACAGACACCTAGCAACATCCATTTGCTGCTTAAGTCCTAAATGTGGCAAGCAGGAGAGGAGAGAACACTTTGTTGCTTGTGCATATGTTTATAAATGTGTTAGCATGTACACAGGCATAAGAAGTAGTATGGTACCACCAACAGTCAGTCAACTAACATTTGTTAAGTGTCTACTACATTCCAGGCATCGTGCAAAATGCTGGGGATACAAAGAACGGCCAAAAAAACAAAAGCAAAAAAACCAAATTCCTCCTCTCAAGGAGTTTATAGTCTAATGGGGCATACAACATGCAAATAACAATGTATGAGATATATTCAAAATGGCAGGTGGGACTTTGGCTGAGATTTAAAGAAAGAACAGTTGACCCGGAGTCAAGAGTCTTGGTTTCAAATCCCAGCTCTAATACTGACTGGCTATATGACCATTTCCTCATCTGAGGAAAAGAACAACTCAGCTTCAGAAGATCATTGTACTTGATAGACTTTTATTTTTTTTAAGTTGCTCTATGTTATTTTTACTTTACCTTTTCCCCCACTAATATGTTCTTTCCCTTCCCACCCAGAAAAGCCAGCCTATGTAACACAAAAGAGGGGGAAAAAAGCAGTCCAGCAAACTGACCAAAACATCACCCAAGTCTATAAGTGTATATATGATACACACCCATAGTCGTCCCCCCCTCCACTCCCCCCCCTCTACAAAGAAGGGAGGGAGGTGAATTTTCTCATTTCTTTTCAGAGCCACTGCTTTCCTAAACTTTTAAGTACTATATAGACTCCCTTTATTACACACTCAGAGATAGAAGGGGCATTAGAGATCATAGGATCATAGTGTTTTTTTGTTTGTTTGTTTTATAAAGCTGGAAGGGATCTTAAAAATTGTTTAGTCCTACCTCTTCATTTTATGCAAATGAGAAGACTAAGGCCTAGAAGTGAAGTGATTTGCCCCAAATTACATAGTTTTAGTAAGCAGAAGAGCCAGAATTTGAACCCAGTTCCTTTGACTTTAGATGAAGGACTCTTTTTACTATATAAGACATTTAACGATGCTCTGTGTGTGTGTGTGTGTGTGTGTGTCTAAGGATGGAGGATGAAGGGCTCTGGGGCCAGCTGAATGAATTTTCACCATGAAGTCTCCAGACTCTGAGAGATAGAAAACTAATCTGCCTAATGGGGTTGTTCCCAGGGTCTGATGCAGGCCTATATGTAAATGAGGCACACCTAATGAATGTCATTAAAACCTAGTCTATGACAGGCTCTCCATTAACAGAGGGGAGGGGGGGAATGGTACCAGGGGCCACAGGCAAGGAGTGACAAATGTAGGGCTGGCCGGCAGCGACGCCTCAGTCACGCTAACTCTGTTAT